AAAAAAAAAAGAAGACAGTCGGGGTGAAGAGAAAGGAGGCGAGGTAGGGAGAAAGGAAGGAGAAGGGTGGCGACGAAAGTGAAGCCGACAGCCATAGCCCACCGGAGGAGTTGACCGGGAGAGTTGACCAGGTGTTGACCAGGCGTTGACGGGGGTTGACCGGGAGTTGATCGGAGGTGTTGACCAGCGTTGACCAGAGTTGACTGGGGGTTGACTGCAGCGTTGACCAAACATTGACCAGGCCGTTGACCAAGACCGTTGACCACGAGTTTGACCAAGCTGGAGCCGGTATATTCTCGCCAAGCCTTCAGCCTATCCCCTCGCCCTATGGATGTGCACACACCCTGTGGTACTTGTTGAGTCGAGTCTGTCTCTCTTCTTTCTGCATCGAGTCTCTTCTGTCCAGGTGTAGGAACTCTGTGGATGAAGGATAGGGCCTCGTTGACCAAACCCCTGCCGGACTAAGTAGTGCTAAAGACTGTGCCTGACGACTCGACTGTCCCAGAGGACACGAACCCTCCCAAGGACCGGTACAGACCGGCGGGCTGCTCGGTGTGGCACGGTAGGCCTGAAAGTTGAGCTGTGGGCTGCACAACAGGCCATCTAAGTGTTGAGAGACCTGCTGATCGCGTCGTCTTGTCGGCGACGTTAAAGAATTCTTGAGGAGTTACGGGGGATCTCCTTAAATGCCTCCTGATCAGCAACAGGTCTAGTAGTGACAGCCTTAGAGTAGGTCCAGGCTAGTGACCATAGTTGACAGGATCCTGTCCAGATTCTGTAAGTCTTAGATTGAGTCAGTAGGTGAGTCAGTCAGGGGGAGTAGAGTCTAAGTGGTGAGGAGTGGAACCGTTGTCTGGTTGTGCAGCTTCCACCATGGTTGACACCCGTACTAGGAAGAGTATTGCCCCCTCTGAGGTCGAGCAGGCCCGGATTGCCGCCCTTCTGAGAGAAAAGAAAGAGAAGAGGGAACTCCTGAAGCAGGCGAAGTTAAAAGCCATTGAGGAGGAGGCGGCGAAGAAGAAGAAGAGATTGGAGGAGGAGATGATGAGAGTTCAAAAGGAGAAGTTGATGTTGATAGAGAAAGAGAAAGAACAAAGGAGGAAGGCTGCAGAGGAAGAAGCAGCCAAAGAGGAGGAAGAAGAAAAAGAAGAACCCCTTGAGAGAAGACGCAGAGAGGAGAGAGGGGAAGTAAGTGGCACGAAGGAGGATGACAGATGGAGGGAGAAGAAGATCAGCGAATGGGTGGCTAATTTATCGTTAGGAGAAGATGAAGAGGCACAGTTGTATGTGCCGCATGAGGAGAGGGAGGCGTTCGCCAGGGCATTGGAGATGATAGAGGACCCCCTGGAACGCCAGGAGACAGAAGATGAAAAGAAGTTGGAGTGGAAGCTGAAACTGATGATGGAGAAGAAGAGGAGGGAGGAAGCCAGTAGAATAGCCGAGGAGGTTGAGCGTGTACGAACCGGCAGGCAGGAATTACAGGCCCAAACAGAGGTCTCTGCCAAATTGGATAAGGTGATGGGCTTCCTAGAGATTCTGAGTGAGGCCTGGCTAGAAGAGCACCAGGCCCGTAAGGGCCAAGACGTGACTCTGCAAGCGACGCGATCTGGGCTTAGGGCGTTTGCGAGTGACGTGGTGGGCCACGTCGGGGCTGAGGTTAGGAGACTGAGGGATGGCGTAGACAAGTTCGGCGCTGGTGCCATCGAGACTGCCAAAGTTGTGGCCACGACAGAGGCCACGACTCGCCCCCGCAAAGAACCAGTTAAGCTAAGTTCCCTGACCCATATAGCAGGAAGAAGGAAGAGAATTTCGATAACTGGGAGGCCAGTATAAACACTTATGTCTTTCTACAACATATTGCCCCTGAGGAGCAGGTCCTCGTCGCCTTCCACGCGTTGAAAGACGAAGCAGCCAGCTTCGCCTGATCTCTCGCACGTGCCGCAGATTGCGAGCACAACATGATCGCATACTCTAGACTTACCCCCCTCGCTACTTTCCTAAGACTCCTGCGCGAGAGGTTTGCTGACGTCACTAGAGGCGTCAGGGCCTCCGACAAGCTGCAAACCATCCATTCACGACAGTGGAGGAGTGCGAGAGCACTCAAAGCTGCCATGGACGACTTGGTAGCCGTCCCGGACCACGGGGTCACTGAGACCCAGTTGGTCCAATTGTTCTATCGTGCCATACCAGAGCCCTTAAGAGGGCACTTCTTTGACAAGAGTCAACAACCCACCATGACATACGATGTGCTGAGTAGAGAGGTGGTGTTGTACGAGGCGAAGTCTATGCCAGTTACCACTTTCTCGCATAAGGACTTAGACAAGGGAAAAAAAGTGGAAAGGGCGTACCATCTCAGATCAGGTTAGGGCCAAGGATCACATGATCCTTACATTGGAGGAAGGTGGTACTGACGAGGTCCCGTATAGTCAGATTGAGTGGGGCCTCGAGGAGGAGGACAATAGCATGGGGCAGGGGAGGTCCTATGCTGTTGTCGCGGCTGGAGGGAGGCCGCAGGGTAGAGGAGGAGGCCACGGTTAAAGGGGCCAGGCCATGGGAGGTAGAGGATCAGGCGCACAGGGGGAAGGCAGTCAAGGGAACCGTCAAGCGGGAGGTAGGGGTCAAGGTCCCCCGCCGAATCGCCAAGGTCCTAGTCGGTCCCCACAGCGTAGAGGTGGAGGATCACCCCAGAGGAGAGGAGGATGACACCCAGGCTGGCCGCAAGGCCGGCCCTGGGAGGATCTGGGCCTGGACCAGAAAATCTGGCAGCAGCGAATGGAGCAGGGTCAGTGCATTTACTGTGGTGACCCTGCCCATATCATAAAATATTGTCCTAAGTATAGACAGGCCCGTTGGGCTGCCCAGGAGTCAAAAGGCAGCCGCCGGTAGGGGTCGCAACTGCCCCTACTTCTAGGCCATGTGGGGAAGCGAACGCGCTCGTAGAGGAAACTCCCACACCACATGAGCCTTCGGCAGAGGTTGCAGGCCCGTGCCTAGTTAGCTGTCCAGAGACTGCTTGTGTCAGCGTCTCTCTAGGCACGTCCCTCACAGGCGTGGCAGAATAATTGAAGGAGAGGATGCCCGTCTGGGCCAAGATGAAGAAAGATAGCAAAGGGCAGCTAGTACTAGTAGATGTAGAGGTTTTCAAGAGTAGAGCTGGGGCCCTCATAGACTCAGGGGCTACCCGTAGTTATATTAGCCGTAGTGCGCTGAAGAAGTTGAGGCTAGGGTCAAAAGTCCAGAAGTTGGAAGACCCCATAGTTAGTGTCCTCGCAGACAACCGCACAATGCGAGTTGAGGACTATGTAGAGGGAGTCCAAGCGTACTTCCGCCTAGAGAAAGATGGGAACGTGGAGAAAGTTCTCCATTCCCTGACTCTCCTCGTACAGGATGACCTTCCTTTTGACATTGTCCTAGGCATGGACTGGGGAGAGGCAACAGGGGCCACACTCCATCTGAGAGAGCATGAGTGTAGGCTCCCTAGTCCGTCAGGCGAAGTTAAGACCGCCCGCCTGTTTCATGTGTCTGGAGTGGATAACTCCTTGGCACATTGCTGCCTCAGTGCTCATGCGTTCGCGCGACTAGTGAGAAAGGAGCAACTAGAGGATCATGTCTTTGTAGTATATGTTAGACCTATCACTGAGCCTAAGGAAGAGGTTAGTTCGATGGATCCAGCCATTGCCAAGCTGCTGGAAGAGTTTAAAGTCTTGTCTGAGCCGCCGACAGAAGTAGTGTCGCGACCAATCTAGCAAAGGATAGAGATAGAGCACGACAGTCGAACTCCTAAGGGAGCAATCTACAGGATGTCCCCTAGAGAGTTAGAGGATCTGCGCAAGCAGTTGGACGAGCTCCTCGAGAAGGGTTGGATTAGGCCCAGTTCGTCTCCTTTTGGAGCACCTGTTTTATTTGTCGCCAAGAAGGAAGGAGAGTTGCGCATGTGTATAGACTATAGGGGTCTGAATGCGATTACCGTTAAGAATGTTGAGCCACTGCCCAGGATAGACGATCTCCTAGATCAGGTGCAGGGGTGCAAGTATTTCTCAAAAATAGATTTGAAGTCCGGTTATCATCAGATAGAGGTCCATCCTGATGACCAGTACAAAAATGCATTCCGGACTAGATACGGGCATTACGAGTTCATAGTGATGCCCTTTCGACTGACCAACGCGCCAGCTACATTTCAGCGTTGTATGAATGATCTGTTTAGGCCTTGGTTGGATAGGTTCGTCGTAGTAGGACCCTCCAGGAGCACCTCCAGTATTCAGTAGGACCCTCCAGGAGCACCAGGGTCATTTGAGGCAGGTCTTGGAGAAGCCGAGAGAGACTAACTTCAAGATCAATGCGAAGAAGTGTGAGTGGGCCAAGACACAAGTTCTGTACTTGGGCCATGTATTAGACGGAGATGGCATTAAGCCTGATGATAGTAAGATCGCGGTGATTAGAGATTGGCCGATGCCCCACACATTGACTGAGTTGCGGTCGTTCCTAGGCCTAGCTAACTACAGTAGGAAGTTTGTGAGGAACTTCTCTACTATCGCCGCTCCCTTGCGCAAGTTGCTCAAGAAAAAGGCAATCTGGCAATGGGATAAAGACTGTACGTCTGCGGTAAAGAAGTTGAAGCGCGCATTAATAGAGTATCCTGTCCTCAAAGTAGCAGATCCCTCTTTGTCATTTGTCGTCACCACGGACGCGAGTCAGTATGGAATAGGCGCCGTGTTACAGCAGGATGACGGCAATGGCTATAGACCCGTAGAGATCATGTCCACGAGGATGCCCTCAGAGAAGGTCTCTACCTCGACATATGAGAGAGAACGCTACGCTCTCAGGCAGACCTTAGAGCACTGGAAACATGACCTGCTTGGGAGGCACTTCAAACTGTACTCCGACCATGAGACTCTTAGATGGTTGAAGACACAGGCCAAAATGACACCTAAGTTGACTAGGTGGGCCGCTGAGATACCAATATGACTTTGAGCTCAAGCCAGTGAAGGGCAAGTACAATGTAGTTGCGGATGCTCTGAGTAGGAGGTCAGACTACTTTGGAGCCATAGTTCACTATCTGGACATAGGGCGTGACCTGCAAGAGAAGGTTAGACAGGCATATGCGCAGGACCCTATCTATAGCGACCTCCTCAAGAAGGTTAAGGAGGCCCCAAAGACTGAGCCAGATTACCGCACTACAGAGGGATTATTATTTGAGAAGACTAACGTAGTAGACCGTCTATGCGTTCCCAACAGTGAGGAGATCCGCAGTCTGATCCTAGGGGAATGCCATGATACAGAGGGGCACTTCGGGTGGCAAAAGACCTTAGCCAATCTGATGCACGCGTACACATGGCCAGGAATGAAGAACGACTGCATAGAGTATGTCCATAGTTGTAAAGTCTATCAGAGGAACAAAACTACTACGCGTGCCCCTCTAGGTCTTCTCAGACCCTTGCCCATTCCAGACCAGCCTGGAGACTCAGTCTCCATTGACTTTATGGATGTCGGTGTCAAGAGTAGACACGGCAAGAGCCAAGTCATGGTCGTAGTTGATAGATTTAGCAACTATGCTGTTTTTGTCCCTTTGCCTGCAGAGGCACACACAGAGTTAGTGATACAAAAGTTCTTTGATTTTTGGGTTTTTTTTGAGCATGGAGTCCCGTTGTCCATAGTTAGCGATAGAGATAGTCGCTTCACCAGCCAGAACTGCCAGAAACTTATGAAAGTTTATGGGTCAAAGTTGTTGATGTCATCTGGCCGCCATCCAGAGACTAACGGTCAGACAAAGCAGATGAACAAGATCTTGCAGCAAGTTTTGCGCATGTACATTAGACCCGATCAAATCAACTGGGACGAGATGTTACCCAAGGTAGAGTGCATAAAATAACAACGTGCATTTGTCCACCTGTCGCACTCCCAACGAGCTGCACAAGTCCTTTAGACCACGTAGACTGTTTGAGGGGCTTAACCGGGATCAGATTCACAGGCTACTGCCCGGTACCAGGGAGTTCGCGATACAGCATGAGAAAGAGATAGTGACTGTTGTTGAGAGCCTCGGGAAGGCCCAACACCGCATGATAGAACAGGCTAATAAGCACCGTCGCCCATCGCAGTTTTAGGTAGGCGACCTGGTCTGGGTCAAGTCTAAAGAATTTGCACCTGAGGAGAACATCTCGCAAAAGTTACTGCCCGCATATAGAGGACCGTGGCCAGTACTAGAAGCCAAGGCCCAAGGGCGGAGAGGATGGGCCGTCCTACACTATAGAGATCCCAGCACACCTCCACACCTACCCTGTGTTTCACGCCCCAAAGTTACTGTCGTGTGTCACAAGTCAGCAGTTTCCCTCTAGACGGTCCATGATCCCTCCAGACATGGACGGAAGATATGACATTGATAGCATTGTAGGTGAAGATGTGTTCAGAACAGGAGGTAGAGGTCGTCCACAGAAGCAGTATAAGGTCCGGTTTGCATATCAGGAACCAGAGGATGACCGCTAGTTCACGAGAGCGGAACTTCTAGAGACAACTCCCGATATCGTTAGAGCCTACGAAAGAGATCAGAGAGGTAAAGGTCCTGCCTTGGACTGAGTTATTCTCGGAGGACCTTGAATTTAGGCCGGCGGGAGTGAAACGGTATTCACCAGTTCGCAGTAGCTGATGCAGATCCCAGGGCTCGATCCCTAGTCCCCACCTTAGCTGTGTACAGTACCTGTGTCGACCCCTAGAGTTGAACCCGCGACCTGTGTATTTGTAATAGTTGATAGGTTGCCGTAGGGTCC